CTGGGGCTTGGCTGCAGAGAGCTCTGTGGTCTCTTGACAGTGTTGGACATTGCCCAGGCAATGCTTAAACGTGCCAGTTTAAGCCCAGCACTGGGCCTTCAGGGCCTCAGGGGCCACCTGGGCCTCATGGGCCAATCCCAGCAGCGTCCGTTGGTGACGTCAGCAGCCGCCCGTTACACAACCCCTGCGGCTGGCCCACAGCTCGCTGAGCCGTTGAGCTTGTGGCAGCAGGCGAGTGCAGTCGAGGAGCCCACGGAGAGTGGGACGCGCAAAAAGAGTGTTTCGGAGAAGCCTTGAAGATGCCTCCAGAGCCCCGAAAACAGAAGAGCGCTGACGGGAGCAGCAGCTGTGGCAGGTCAGTCCAGCCCATGGAGGTTGACCTGCCACAGCGGGGCCATGAGCCCATGGAGGTGGATCCTCCTCGTGATATGGAGGAGGCCATGGAGGTGGATCCACCTCGTGATATGGAGGAGGCAATGGAGGTGGATCCGCTTCGCCATGCGGAGGTGCCCATGGAGGTGGATCCGCTTCGCCATGCCGAGGTGCCCATGGAGGTGGATCCGCTTCGCCATGCCGAGGTGCCCATGGAGGTGGATCCATCTCCTGTGGGGCTGATGGGGCACGGCAGCACCACGGCCGGGTGCCCAAAGTGCCGCAGAGCCCTGGGGGGCTCTCGGCCGGCCTCCCACTAGCCCCCTCCCGACAAGCAGCGCTAGCCTTGAGGGGAACAGCCACTCCAGATCCCGGTAAGCTCATCATGTCAAGCCCCAGATAAGCTCGGCTTTCCCACCCCCACCCCCTCCCCTCATGACGGGGGCCATCTCCTCTGCCCTGAGCTCAAAGAGGCAAAGAGAGGGGATGCCATTTCCTGTCCGGCAGCGCCATCGAGCCGGGAGGAGTCCCTTGCAGCCTGCTGGAGCCCGCCGAGGACCACTGAGGAGAGCCAGAGACCCCTGAGGACCACCGAGGACCACCAAGGACCACCGAGAACTGCCAGAGAACCCCAAGGATCAGTGAGGACCGCCGAGGAACGCCAAGGACTGCCAGAGACCCCCGAGGACTACAGAGTATACCACTGGAGACTCTCCTAGAGGCCACCCAGGTAACTGGCAGCTGGAGGTGGCATTCTTTCAGTGTGAGGATGAGGAAGCCCTTGGCGCGGGGCTGTCCTCCCCCAGCTCTCCCCTCAGGTCCCCAGTGGGTGCGAGAAGGGTCTTAAAGGGTTTCACCAGACTGGGGGTATCTCTAGGCTTGCTTTATTAAAAACTCAGAGTTGGGCCATCACCTCAGTGAGTGGCAACAGCTGACAAGATGCGTCTTCTATTTATATGATGCTTCATAACATGCAATGCAACGCCAATTCATCACCCATTTTAAAAGTCCATTATATTCCAGAGCTCTAACTAGTTCTTCTTGTTCCCCTCCGCTTCCTCTTCTGACATCACTGCTCACTGATGCAATCTTTGGTCAGCATGATTGTTTATCTTCTAATCAATCTCCATCTCAATTCATTTTTAAACTTCTTGTAAAAGACTCAAAATATTCTATTTAACATGTACTCAATTTATATCTAGCTTTCCTACTACCTGGATTTTCTGAATCACTTATCTCAAGTTAAGCACTTATTTCTTACCTTTTGTCATGTCTACAACTTAATGCCTAAAGGTTAATCTTTAATGATTCGGCCTGACTGGGTTTTAAACCAGGCATGCTGAGGGCTGTACAGGGGACCACTAAGCAGCATGTGCATTGAATTATCAGTATTGTTCTGGGAGCAGCTGTGCATACTGCATTGTGCTGTCAGTATTGTGTCTAGTGCACGTGTGCTCCATTAATCAAACCTACCAAGCAATATCTACTTCTTAATTGTTCCTACTCTTAATAATATCCTAAGAGAAAAGAGCGTTCTAAAGCTTGCTCCTTTTACAAAGGGGAAGCCGCATGCGCCCTGGCAGTGCGCAGAGAAGAGCAGCAGTGCACCAAAGAAGGCAGATGCCTGTGCTGGTTCTGGCTGGGACAGAGTTAGTTTTCTTCCTCAGAGCTGGTCCAGAGGTGCACTTTGGATTTAGTACGAGAATGATGCTGATAACATGCTGATGCTGTAGGGGGTGCTACGTAGTGCTCGTCCTAAGTCAAGGATTTTCCGTTTTCCCAGGCTCTGCACGAGAGCGGGTGCACAAGAAGCTGGGAGGGCGCACGGCTGCTGGGAGAGCTGACCCCAGCTGAGCACGGGGACACTCCGTACCGTACGAGGTCATGCTCGGCACAGGAATCTAGGGGAAGGAGAAGGAACGGGGAGGACGGTCGAAGTGGTGACAGCACCATGGATGACCAGCTTTCTCTGCTGAGGCAGCTTGGGGCTCACCCAGTTCTCTCCCTGTTCCTTCCCGGTGCAGAGGACACCCGAAGGAGCCAAGAAACCCCGAGTGACCCTTGTCCCATCACGGCAACGCCTGGAGAAGGAGCTGGACCGCCGCCATGCCGTGAGTGTCTCTCTGGCTCGGGCGCTGTCCCAGCACTGCTCCTCCAGCCGAGCAGCACAGGCATCGCTGCTCACCTTCTGCCATTGCTGCTTCTCCCTTGCCCAGTCGAGGCCGTTGAGCACAAGGAGCCTGGAGGAGCCTGGAGAGGCTGGTGGAGCACCAAGCAGAGGTGAGAAGGGCTGCCTTTGCCCTCTGGCTGTGCCAGGGTGCAGGCATGGGCGTGCGGTGGGACGGTGCGCCGGTGGCCCTTTCTGCCGAGGGGCTGCTCTCTGAGCGCAGCCTGGTTCTTGCAGGCTGATCTCAAGCAAGGGCTTCCTACGTTCCCGTCGAGCCGCGAAGTCAGACTTTGCCGCGCACCGGGTGAGTTTGGGAAAGAAAGGCCCCTCCTGCAAGCGCCTGGGCTGTGCTCACTCGTCCCTTGAGGGTCCCCGTGCAGGTTGGGCAGCCCAAGGGAGGACGTCAGCTGCAGGAGGAAGGACAGAGCCAGGCAGCGGCCGCTAAACATGGTTCTGCCTCTGCTGCTGCAGACAGCCTGGAGGAGGACAGGGCCAGGGCTGCGCCAGGCTGTCCCGGGCACACGCCAGCTCTCAGGAGCCCCTGAGCTGGAGCCACAATTCCGGCTACCGGCTCCCTGCCCATCCTGCCGCTCCGCTCAGCACCGCGCTGCAGGGCAGGGCAGGCTCTGGGAGCGCTGGCCTGGCAGCATCCACTGACGGGCTCTTGCTCTCTTTTCCCTTGCAGCAGGAGGGATCAGCAGCAGCAGCAGCAGCGGGACGAGGAGGAGGGGGCTGCCCTGGCCCTTTGCTCTGCGGCGGAGCCCCGTCGCTGCTCCAGTGCCAGGGCAGGCGGGCTCCAGCTGCAGCAGGGCGCTCTTTGGGCAGCCCCTGGCAGACCTCTGCGGGGAGGCTGGCACGATGTCCCGGCCCATCCAGGTCAGCCAGGGTCCATAGCAAGGGAAATCGGCAAGGTTGTCTCTCAAATGCCCTCGGCCTGTGTATGATCAGCCAAAGCCCCCCCCCCCAGAATACCCAGGGGAGTAGTTGTCAACTCCAGGGGTGTTTTTCTCAGGCCCTACTTCATCAGAGCTTCCTCAGGTCTATTTGGGGAGGAGCAGGGGGACTGTGTGAACTGTGGCTGATGCAAAGCAGCCCAAGGCATCTCCACCCCACCCCCTCCCCCGAGCATGGCAATGTCCCTGGGCAGCCCAGAACAACTGGCCAGGTTTCCAGAGGAAAGAAGATAAAATGAACACGCTTTGGTTAAAATCACAACTGACTCCAGAGGGTGTCAAGGCTTTCCCTATCTAGTCCCACTGTGGGATGGAAAGGTTTGTGTGCTCTCACTAGGACAAGGAGAAGAAGAGAAGCCGCAAGAGAAGAGAGGCCTGGGGAGAGGAGAGCAAAAGCTGCAGGCAAGAGAAGAGGAGGAAGAGAAAAGGACGGTCTGGGGACGGACCGGCAAAAAGACACCAAAAGCTGCAGCAGGTCGGGCAGCCCAGGTGCGTGCCAGGCTCTGGTACCCATCTTTCACAGCGCTTCACACTGCTCTCCGTCAGCCTAAGGCGCTGGTGAGGGACAGAGAGGGACAGTGCTGCACAGGGTCTGGAAATAACTCCCTGGCAGGGGCCCAGGGGCTCCCGGCCGAGCCCTGCGGCGTGGCACAGGGGCACTGCGCGTCTCTGCAGCGCTCGGGGCTCGAAGGGCATTGCCCAGGGGACGAGGCGCCAGAGCCACCCCGTAGCCAGCACCAGCACCAGCACCAGCTCTGTGCTCTGGGCCGTCAGCAATTCCTCATACACGGTGTTCCCCAGAGAGAGGGCAACACAACCCTGCCTCCTTCCTGCCGCCATGGATTCACCAGAGCTTTCTGACTCTGTCGTTGCAGGTGCCGACTCATTGTCACTGCCTGAACCGCTGTGACTGCAGTGCCCCTGCAGTTCCTGTATAAAATAAAAAGATCTTTTCTCTCTCATGACTGAGTCTTACAGAGGATATTCTGGAGTAGGGAGCTGTTGTCTTGAGATGAATCCTCGGGGAGCAGTTTGGGATCATCCCTGTGTAAGGGACAGTGTTGGACTCTGTCTCAATGTGCTGCTGCACCGCTACCACTTCCTGGCCTCAGCATCCTGTCGCCGTGGAGGCGTGTGCTCTGAAGGAGACGAATTGTCCCCAACGAACCCACGACATCCACCCAAAGCTGAAACAACAACGTCCTTGGCAGTGCCTACCAAGCTACATCTGCGTGCGAGCCAGCTGCAGAGGAAATCGGGGAGAGGAAGCTGTGCAGAGGCTGGAGAGGCCACAGGTTGGCCCACCACAGGCACGGCCACTGTGAACACCTGGGCCTGCGCGCATAGAGGACCACGGGGCGGCACGTCTTCGGAGTTTTTGGAGAAATCGTGGGGACTGAGGCAATAAAAGGACAGTGACTGCTCTCTCGGGACTCTTGTTGTGCATCCCTCCTCGGAGCTGGGACTTTGGCAGAGCTTGGAGCTTGGAGCACCATCCCCTGCGCTATCTTCCTACATTTCTACCATTTGTTTGCTTAGGGATTCTGACTTTTCCCTTCCCTTCCCTTCCCTTCCCTTCCCTTCCCTTCCCTTCCCTTCCCTTCCCTTCCCTTCCCTTCCCTTCCCTTCCCTTCCCTTCCCTTCCCTTCCCTTCCCTTCCCTTCCCTTCCCTTCCCTTCCCTTCCCTTCCCTTCCCTTCCCTTCCCTTCCCTTCCCTTCCCTTCCCTTCCCTTCCCTTCCCTTCCCTTCCCTTCCCTTCCCTTCCCTTCCCTTCCCTTCCCTTCCCTTCCCTTCCCTTCCCTTCCCTTCCCTTCCCTTCCCTTCCCTTCCCTTCCCTTCCCTTCCCTTCCCTTCCCTTCCCTTCCCTTCCCTTCCCTTCCCTTCCCTTCCCTTCCCTTCCCTTCCCTTCCCTTCCCTTCCCTTCCCTTCCCTTCCCTTCCCTTCCCTTCCCTTCCCTTCCCTTCCCTTCCCTTCCCTTCCCTTCCCTTCCCTTCCCTTCCCTTCCCTTCCCTTCCCTTCCCTTCCCTTCCCTTCCCTTCCCTTCCCTTCCCTTCCCTTCCCTTCCCTTCCCTTCCCTTCCCTTCCCTTCCCTTCCCTTCCCTTCCCTTCCCTTCCCTTCCCTTCCCTTCCCTTCCCTTCCCTTCCCTTCCCTTCCCTTCCCTTCCCTTCCCTTCCCTTCCCTTCCCTTCCCTTCCCTTCCCTTCCCTTCCCTTCCCTTCCCTTCCCTTCCCTTCCCTTCCCTTCCCTTCCCTTCCCTTCCCTTCCCTTCCCTTCCCTTCCCTTCCCTTCCCTTCCCTTCCCTTCCCTTCCCTTCCCTTCCCTTCCCTTCCCTTCCCTTCCCTTCCCTTCCCTTCCCTTCCCTTCCCTTCCCTTCCCTTCCCTTCCCTTCCCTTCCCTTCCCTTCCCTTCCCTTCCCTTCCCTTCCCTTCCCTTCCCTTCCCTTCCCTTCCCTTCCCTTCCCTTCCCTTCCCTTCCCTTCCCTTCCCTTCCCTTCCCTTCCCTTCCCTTCCCTTCCCTTCCCTTC